TAATCAAAAATTAGGTTTTGATATATTTACGGTAGGAAATTTACAAAATATCTTCATGGAACATGATCTTTACTTAATATCCTAATGATTTTTGACTTTAAAAAAAATCTGTAATTTTGACCCATACAATGTATTTTTGGCTATTGCTACAAATATACCCCAGCGACTTATGACTGCTTTTGTGCTCCAGGGTCACATATGGCATGTAAAGCTGCTATTAAACATTCACAGTAAATGAAGAGAAAACGTACCACTCCCAGGAAGAACACCATGCATGAGAGAGAGAAGCCGCTGGTGTACCCCAGATACCCTGATGTGAGAGACGACAACGAGAGTTACACACACGCTTCACAAACTCCACCGCTCTTACACTTACTGCAAAGTCTTACCCAGGTTCTTCAGCAGAGACAGCGGCAGAATGATGCCGATGGACACCAACACCACCGCGTAATTCCCGTTCAGATACCATTCCCTGAGTACACAGAGAACGAGCACATGACACCATACAATATGATATTTGCTGATATCTCAAAACATGCTGCAATACGACTGCGATTTGATTCGATTCCGGCCTGTGATTATATTGATATCATGCTTTTTATTTCTATAGCGCTTTATACAACATAGATTGTTTCAGAGCTGCTTCAGTAAAAAAGCACTGTTATAAAATGTCAAAGATTATAAAATGATTCAGTTTCAGCTTTAAAGAAGCTCTACAAAAGACAAAAGTGTCATAATTCAGTATTTTGTCTTATTTTCCGATACAAATATCTAAGCATCCTTAAATCAAGATGCATTTACATGAGAAGCAAAACGAGATCAGATATTAAGTCCTGTTTTCTTAGAAATACATCCGAATTGAGTGAGTTTATGATTAAAACAAGACAAAATATCTGCCAATGGGGTCAGAAACATATTTAAGCATAAATTAGTTTAGTAAATTCTGATACATTTTTCAGAACACAAGTCGTAATATGTTTAAATTGAATATATTTATTAAAATATATTCTAAAGTGGAACAATAATACATATACAAATTAAATTATTATAATCCATTTAAAATAAATATAAAATGTAAATATTAATTTCATTAACATAAATTGTATTCTTAAATTATCTGATCGTTAAAAAATAACACGTCATTTTAATACACTTTTCAGAAATCAAGGCTTCAAGATGATTGATTGATTGATTTAAGGATGTTTAGATATTAGCAAACAAGACAGAAATACTGATTGTAGTTTTTAACAACTCACAAATGCTTCAACATTTAATTGGAAAGTGCAAATCATGTATTTTAGTTTTTGTTAAATAAAAAAAAAATGTACCGGTATATCTTAAATACATGTATCGATTTTTTACACGTTTGATTGATGCTTCGATCCATATTTCTCTCCAATTAATAACAGACACTCACACTGCTACAAATTTCCATCATAAATCAGTTATTATGCTTTTATCTACAGACGTAGACATGTGGGGGCGTGTTAGAACGAGCCGTTTTAGGGGGGCGTGGCAGAGTCTTAACTTTGATAAAGAATATCTCTTTGGTTTTGAGACTTTAGTCTTTGCAACTTCAGGGATCTTATCTATGCACAATCAGCTTGTAACACTCCAAAGAGAAAGGAAAAGTTGAAATCACATCATATGACCCCTTTAAACATCACTGAGTCTTACCCAGAGTTCTCCTCCAGCCGCAGAAAAGCTCGAATCACCTCCGGCAGCTCGTATTTGACTATGAACAGGTAGCTGGACATGGCTGAAGACGAGCCAAACACATTAATATCACATCACTCGTGCTAAAGCTAAAGACTCAAGCTACTTTTAAATATAGCATCATTACCTCCTATATTCTGCAGAGTTATTGATCCGAAAGCTGCCATTTTTCCCGGCCATCCGAACGCTCTTTCCCCGAGCTTCTCGTAGATCAGCGAGCCTGTAGCCAGAGGACATTATAGCATCAAATGCACGTTTCATATATTAATGTGTGTTTACGATCTCTGGACAAGCTCACCTCCTTCTTTGGCCGTCACTAGTAACAGATGAACAGAGTACAGCGACAGGATAGCGACTCCAAGCAGGAGAATGCTGGAAAAACAGAAGGAAACATTAGAAACTCTTCCTATCATGTGTGCAAATACATAGAGCTACCCAGCTAATAGGGAACGTTCTCACAACGGTTTTTAAATGTTACAACTAAACATTCTTAACGTTTATGGAACATTCTTGTAACTTTATTAATATCTGATATGTTCTCATAACGTTGAGAGGAAACGTTTTGAGATCAACATTCTCGGAATGTTCTTATGATGTTTTTTGTATTAGATGAACGTTCTAAGAAACATTTTTTGTAACGTTTAAATAACCTTCTAATCAAAACTGAACATTAACATTTTAAAATATTAAAAATAAACATTAAAATAACGCTTTATTTTTGGGTAAAAATAAAGTTAGTAGAACGTTGTAGAAAACATTCTTATAACCTTTGAATAACTTTACAATCACATGAAAACTGGACATTATAATGTTTGTAGAATATCGAAAATAAATGCTTAAACAATATTATATTTTGGGTAAAAATAAAGTTAGTAGAATGTTCTAAGAAATGTTTTTGTAACCTTTAAATAACGTTCTAATCCCATTTTTGCACAATATTAAAAATAAACATTAAAATAACTCTATATTTTGGATAAAAATAAAGAAAGAATTAATAGAATGTTGTAAGAAATGTTCGTTTTGTAACCTTTAATCACGAAAAGAAAACTGGACATTTTAACGTTCTTAGAAAATGTTAAATATTTGTTATTTATCATGCAATCTCATATTTATTTATTTTTTTTAACAGTTTTGTACGGTCATAATTTTGTTTTCATAAAATACCATTTTGATGTGTTTGTATTTGCAGTGGTTACTATTTCTGTTTTGGTGATTTGCATTAAAACCAGTTAGGTTCAGTTTGAACCGCAAAGATCAATTATTCATTTTGATAGTAGTTCAAGTCAGACGGTTTCCATTTCAGAAATCTGCTCACCTTATTTTGAGAGGATCGTTAGCATTAGCGCTGTGTGTGGTCAACGCACAGACACATATATGTGCAGTCTGCATTTAGAAAGCGCTTCAAAAATAAACCGCAGTTAATGTCACAGCATGTTACTTAACAGGCGATATAAGACGATCCCAGACGTGCTGAAGAACATCTGACTTACCGACGAGACTCGAAATATTGCACAACAACAGTGGATGTTAAAGTCAAAGATATGCATTGATAACATTTACAGCTTTTCTAAAGCAAGATTTTTAATTATCAGCAAATCTAGTCCACAATTCAGCTTATTTTAGCCAAGAAGCGCCAGCTTGGACAGGAAGAGACCGTCTGAATGACATATAAAGCGACCCATAAAGCACTGTCACATCTAATTCACGCTCAGCTGCAGTGAGACACAAACTGAGCGACAGAAAGATGGATCTCTAGAATTGGTTAATGATGGTTCGGTCACTCGACACCGGCCTCCCGCGGCTCACCGAACAGAAATAACCGATTGACACGAGCGCCGGAGAATGAACGAGCGATGCGAGGTTGAGCTCTGAGCGCTCAGTTGACCATTAGCACTAAAGGTGTGCATCCACTGCTTCCTCCTGCTGGCCTATCACAGCTGACTGCTGTCCATCACACACACACACACACACTCTCTCACAAACACACACACTCACTCACACACACACACACACACACACACACACTCACTCACACACACACACTCTCACAAACACACACACACACACACACACACACTCACACTCACACACACACTTTAACCTCTCACTGAACATCAGATGCTGAGCTTAATATAGCCATATAGTTTATTAGCGATATGCGCGGTGTAGCGTGTCACAGAAATCCTGCCGTCCCGACAGAACGATCGCCAGCACATTCTTTGATAAGAACCTCTCCGGGGGTTTCTGGAGGTACCACTTTGGCTACAAACAGGGCTGTATCAAACATTAAAACTTTTGAAACAATACATAGATAGAATTTAATTTTTTTTATTTAGTGGCACCTTTATAATTTTTTTATATACGTCTATATAGTTTTTATTCATTTTTATTTCAGTTTTGGGTAATTTGAAAATGCTAAATTTATTTATTTATTTTGCTACTCCCTGACAGTAAAAATAACTATATCATTAAATATTCATTCATTCATGTTTCAAATTTTTAATGCCTTCTGTGGCCTAATTGTAAAAATAAATACTATATATATATATATATATATACAGGTGCATCTCAATTAATTAGAATGTTGTGGAAAAGTTCATTTTATTTCAGTAATTCAACTCAAATTGTGAAACTCGTGTATTAAATAAATTCAATGCACACAGACTGA